TACAGATTGTAGATGATTCATATAACAAGCGGGGTAGAGTGGAATGCTGTGAAATTTCACTGGTCTGTGTAGAATTGCGTGCAATTTAAGATGTATGAATTGTTTATTTCTGGCACTTTGTCATTAGATATTTTGGGTTAGCCATAGATAACTGACACTATTAAAAGTCAGGTTGCAGAAGGTGAAACTTTAGGGAAGAGGGAACTACTTCGGTGTAATTTTAAATGAATAGAGTAACCAACAATGAGGTATTTTAACAAAATTTAAGTGTAATTTTACCTGTCAGGAGATAAGGAAAAAATAAAAATTAGTAATGTATGAAAACTATTTTCATATGGTATGCTTTTGTAGAAAAGGAAAATGAGAGTATCTAGTGGTTAGACCCAGTGTTATGAAAAAAGACTTGATTTGAAAGTAGAAAGAGACATAGATAGTTTATCCTGATAACATAGTACTAATACTGTTGGTATATCATTTAGTGGAGAGTGTTGATTGGAAGTTGTCCTTGGCATTGTCACACAGTGGTGAGTGGAGGGAGATGTGGTGTTGAAAGATGATTCTGCATTGTGCCATTGTCTAATATTGTTATGTATGCAGCAGGACAGGAACATGAAGACTAATGCATTATAGAAATCAGCTAAGATTTCTAGTTTATTCTTTTGGCATGATGATAAGTGATTTTAGTAACACACTAATTATTACAATGCTTGGTTACAATATCTATAGTCAAGTGTTGTCTAGTTTGATTAAAATTAATTAATTCAGCAAATATGTTTTAATATTTAATAAGTGCCAAATGCTATTGGGATCCAGAACTAAAGAAATGATAGAGGACAGTTGCCAATGCTATGGGGTGAGGCAAAAATAATTTATTAGATTTTAATGTGTTAAATGTGGTAAAGAGGCCATGGAGGGAGACCACTACTGAGAATAGGTAGTAAGTGGGTAACACCTAAGTTCAAGACTCAGTGTTAGGCTGGAAAACAGCTGAGAACCGAGTTCTGTTTCCACTGTTAATTTATACAAACATTTGAATTTCAGCTCATTCACTAGAGGTGGAGAAAGGGATTTGTGTGCAGAGGCTAATCTCACAATTAGATTTATAGGTTTTATAGCACTGCCTTGTATAATAACTTTCTGATCATTTGCATAGCTCACAATCAGTTTTTTCTATACCAGTAAAAATATGACAAACTTCAGTAAAGTTGCAACCTTTGAATGTTTTATTCTGAACTTGCAGTGATGTAATTTACCCCATCATGAGAGTATATGAAAGATGGTCAGGGGATTGTTTAAATGCCCTTAGGGGTCTTTAGAAATGTAATTAGCAGGTTGATTGTGTTTGTATAGGTTTATATCTTCTCAAGGGGGCAGAATGGGTAAAGGTGCTTACTGTCTGACAGTAAAACCCTGAGGACCTGTGTTTGATCTCTGAATTTATGTAAAGGTGAAAAGAAAAGAAAGGAGCCTACAAACTTGTCCTCTGGTACACATGACCTCTATGGATCTCCCCACCCATTATATGTATGCACACATACACCGAGATAACAAAATTTAAAAATCCTTGAAAGAACATTTCTAATGTAATTTTTCTTTACTTATAAAGATGAATAACCAAATTACAGTTATAATCTGCTTAGTCTTTTTATTAGTGTTTGGTTACTCGTTACCTATCTACAACATCAATTCAAAACAAAGCTAATTAATAGTGTCTTACTCACTGTTCTATTACTATGAATAGACACCTTGGCCAAGGCAACTTTTATAAGAGAAAGCATTTAATTGAGGGCTTGCGTATTGTTTCATAGGTGTGGTATGTTGTCAACATGGCACCATGCAGGTAGCTCTGGAGTAGTAGCTGGCAACTGCATCATGATCTGTATGCAGAGAGAGAAACACTGGGCCTTTTAAAACCTCAAAGCCCACTCCTTGTGATATACTTCCTTTCACAAGGCACACCACGGCATCAAGACCACACCTAACCTTTCTAATCCTTCTCTAACAGTTCCACTCCCTAATGACTAAGCAATCAAATATATGTGCCCATGGGGTCCATTCTTATTCAGAACACCACATAAAATGTTTAAAATAGTATTGAGAACATTATGCATGTGATACTAATGTGTAATTATAAAATTATTATGATAAAGTAACTAGGAGAAAAAAAATAAAAATGAAGAAGTAATCTGTCAAATTTGATTCTCTGTACTCTTAATATTACTAAAATCCATAATTAAACTCAAAAGTGTTTAATAAACTGGCTTAATGGTATAAAAAACTTCACCATTGGAGATGGAGACACACCTTTTCTCTCATATAAAGAATCAAAGATCAGGAACTTTTTTAGTTATTGTTTTGTTGCTATGAAGAGACACGATGACCAAAGGAACTGGTATAAAGGAAAATATTTAACTGGGGGCTTGCTTACAGTTTTAGTGGGTTGGTCTATGATCATGGCAGGAAGCAGACTGGTGTGATTGCTGGAGTAGTAGCTCAGAGCTTTATGTCCTGATCTTCAGGCAGAAGGCAGAGAAAGGGACTCTGAGGCTAGCTTGGGCTTTTCTAATCTCAAAGCCCACCCCCAGAGACACACCTCCAAGGCCATACCTCCTTCAACAAGGCCACACCTAATTTTTCCTAAATAGTATTACTAACTGGAGAACAAGCATTCAAACATGAGCCTATGGGGGCCATTCTCATTTAAATTACCATAATAACAGTTTTTGTTTTATTGTATTATTTTAGTTTATTTTGTAGTCAGATACTTTTTTAATATTTCACTATGTACTAGATGCAAGTAGGCCAAAGCAGTGAAATGAAGCAGATACTTGATTTTTCATGTTTGTACTAGAACTGTAAATGCAAAAAAAAAAAAAAAAAAATCTCCATTTCAGTTTAACCTAATGGAGATGGCTTAGTTCACTTCTGTAACATGAGGACCGGCTTGTTGGGGTTTCTGTCCCGCCCGGTACCCCACAACCGGCAAATCCCAAAGAAAATAACACGGAGTCTACATTAGGTTATAAACTGATTGGCCCATTAGCTCAGGCATCTTGTTAACCCTTGTAACTTATATTAACCCATTATTATTATCTATGGTAGCCATATGGCTTGGTACCTTTTTCAGCTGTCAGCTTACATGTTGCCTCTTCAGTGGTCTGCACAGGAATGGCGAGGGAGCTTCCTGCTTCCCAGAATATTCCTGTTCTCATCGCCCCGCCTCTACTTCCTGTCTGGTTGACCCACCTATACTTCCTGCCTGGCCAATCAGCGTTTTATTAAAATACATGATTGACAGAATACAGACAATTCTCCCGCACCACACTTCTGATTAAGAATCAGTTTCTCATTGTTTGGTTAGCTAGTTAAATCTTCACAAATAAAGATGGAGCTTTGTTCATTATTCATGCATTAATCAAAGCAATCCGTAAACTAGATACCATTCAGTTAGTATTGTACTTGGGATGTTTCCTCTCACCAATCCATTCTTCTGTTTTCCCTATCTTTACCATGACAACTGCAGTCTTTCAGTGCTCAAATCAGAAGTGCTGCACTCACTGTAGACTCTTTTACACTTTATAGCTAACCTACTACCAGATCTGTTGGCAGTATATTCATAATTTGGCCACTTCTTACCAATATTGTACTGCTGCAATCATGACCAGTTACTTCTTAACAGCTTCTTGCTGGTCTCCCAGACCTTAACACTGTTGAGTCTGCACTCTATCCACAGACTATTATCAATGTTCTCTTATGCCTTCTGGCTCCTAAAGTCTCTGCCCTCAGATTTGTACATGTTTTGGCACCATGTGTTGGTATGATGGGATGTGCACTGAAAGTTGGCTCATTGCTCTCAGTTCCAGTGTCTGCTTTTGCAAACACTCGTCCTTTCCTCTCTTGAAGACGCCTAGACTCTCACATCACTGGCCTCTATGCCTCCACTTTTTTTCTTTGAGAGTTTTCTTCAGAATTTTTACTAAATCAAGTGACTAAATTACTACATTGGGAGTAGTTCACTGGTAGAATGCTAGTTTAGTCTTATGTGAGGTCTTCTGTTGAACACATACACACACACCCCAAATTGATCATGTACTCTTGCTCTTCACATCTTCACTCTATCCTCCGTAGACTTTTTAGCTTTATTTTCTGAATGTACATGCCATGTACCAGTCACTTTTACTATTACAACAAAATCACTTCTTTGAAAATCTTTATTTACTATATATACTGTGTTCTGCCTGCACACTTGCCTGCAGGCCAAAAGAGGGCACCAGATCTCATTACAGATGGTTGTGAGCCATCATGTGGTTGCTGGGAATTGAATTCAGGACCTTTGGAAGAACAGGCAGTATTCTTAACCTCTGAGTCATCTCTCCATCTCCCCACTCTATTTTTTTTAAAGATTTGTTTATTATGTATACAATGTTCTGCCTGCACGTATGTCTGCACTAGATTTCACTACGAATGGCTGTGAGCCACCATGTGGTTGCTGGGAATTGAACTGAGGACCTCTGGAAGAGCAGCTAGTGCTCTTAACCATGGAGCCATCTCTCCAGTCCTCTTTGAGCATCTTTTATCCTTTAAATTCCAAGTTCACACACCAGCCTTTGTGAGGTCTTCTCTGATACCTTTCATTCTCAGTTGCAACAATATACTTTTGGCAGCTCCCATACACAGTATTTTATTTTCTTAGCATAGGCTTTCTATACAATGTAGCCAAGATATGATGGGGGTACTTCTTGTCATTGGATTTTGATATCTTTTTGCAGTTGATATCTATTTATATCTTTCTATATCTGTTACTCTATACTCTCTTTCTATATCTATTACATTAGTATTTCATGTATATGTCTGACCACAAATCCACTCCATCTCTCTGAGTACCTTATGATGCTGATAATGTTATCATAACACATTCAAGTTTTACTGAGGAGCCTAATATCACTGTATTAGTTATTTATCTGTTGCTCTGATAAAACACCATGAACAAAGCAACTTACAGAAGGAAGTGTTTATTTGGGGTTTATGGTTCCAGAGGGCTAAGGGTCCATCATCATCACAGCGGGGAAGCATGGCAGCAGACACACATGGTGATTGGAGCAAGCTGAGAGGTCACACTGTAAACTTCAATCAGAAAGTAGAGTGAGAAAACTTGAAATGGTGTACATTTTTTAAGTTCTTAAAATCAGTTCCCAATGACATAGTTCCTTTCAGCAAGTCCACACCTCATAATCCTTCCCCAAACATTGCCACTACTTGAGAACCAAGCATTCAAATGTTCCAGTGAATCCATCAAAATCAGGTAACTTTCAATCCAAAAATTGATGTGATAGCCTGCATGTAGGCTGATTTTCTTAGCCTTGTTTACTTGGTGGCATCTATATCCATTATAAATTAAGTGGGAAACTCTGAGTTTCTAAATCCAAACACGCTAGATATTTAAAGAATTTAATAGCCAAATTGACAAGGCCATGGGCAAGTGTCATATAGTTCCTTCGCCTTGCTGACTTCTTTTTCTCAACATTCTTTTAGAACAAGTTCTTCTTTTCATTAGATTTGTTTTTAATGTTTTTTGAAGCTTTAGTTGTAGCCAACGTTCATAGCTCACATGAAGTCGTGTCACTGGAGAAGGTCCAGCTTAGCTCAACAAGACATACTTATTTGTAAATTTGTAGTCCTTAATTATTATTGTTATATTTGAATCACAGCAAAAGTAGAGTTTAAGAATGATTGAGAGAGAAAGCTGACTCCATTTTTCTTCTTTAACACACAGAACTTTCTTTAGCAGTAGGGAATTATGAGGGTTTGCCGTTAGGGCTTCAGATTAGTTCTGGGGAGTCTGGAGACCAAGGGACGGGATTTATTGGCATGTGCCTTCATGGCTGTGTAAAATTTGGGACATATGAAGAGAACTTTTCTTCTCATCAGTTCTCTGTGATGCCCAATTCCATTTCAGATGTTGGGTGTTCTGCCTGAGACACATGCATGCATGGTTTGGCATTGCATATGACCACGGTTGTTGAGACTTGTTAACTTTTTATTTCTTTGTTTTGTGTCATATTAGTCTCATAGCTGAAGTGGGATGCTATAATCACAATAGAAAGTACTCTGTCTAATTTCTGACCCTTGATGTTCAGAAATGGCCTCTGAGTTCTAGTAGGCAGCTGTGTCAGGGTCTTCACTACTTGTAGAATATCAATCTTAAAGAAGAATTCAAATTTCTAAGAGGACGGCTGTGCCTCCTTCCCAAACTGCCCATGTTACTGGTTTAGAACACAGTTTTTATCTAATAAATTATTTGGGGCTTGATACTGCCACCTTTTTCTAATTCTGGGCTCAGCCACTCTCTCAGTTAGGGTTTCTATTGCTGCAAAGAGACACCATGACCACAGCAACTCTTATAAAGGAAAAACATTTAATTGGAGGTGGCTTATAGTTTGAGAGGTTTAGTCCTTTATTATCATGGTGTGACACGGTGGCATGCAGGCAGATGTGGTGCTGCAGAAGGAGCTGAGAGTCCTGTATCTTGACTCATAAGCAACAGGAGGTGGATGATACTGAGACATTGGGTGTGGCTTTAGCATATGTGAAACTTCATAGCCCATCCCCACAGTGACACACTTACTTCAACAAAGCCATACCTACTCCAACAAAGCCACAGATAATAGTGCCACTGCTTATGAACTCATGGAGGCAATTACATTCAAAGTACCACAGCCACATAGGAGATTACCTGTAACTGTACAACTCTCAAAGTTCTGGGAGAAATAGTCACCAGTCACCAACCAGCTCAGGTAAAGGAACCTAATGCCTCCTGCTCATCTGCGACTGATGAACTTTAAGTATCTCATGGTAATAGTGGGCCAGAATCGTCTGCTTCCCACACTGGAAATCGTGGCAAGTCTGGGAAGCTGTCATATGATATTGGGGAAACCCGGGTAACTTCTTAAAGTTCTTGGTTTCATTAGTAAAAGAATTGAAAGACAGACAAAAATGGAAGCTTGAGGGGAAAAAAAAAAGGAGCTCAAACAGAAGCTTGACTACTGAAATTTCAAAAGAAAACTCCAGGGCAGGCAAGCTGCAAGTCTTGAAGTCACTCAGGTGAGAAAGGAGGTCTGTCACATGGAGGCAGTCACACTGTTGGGAGAGGAGCTTTAGGAAAAGAGTGGAGCAGCTCAAAACATTTGTTAAGAGAATTTAAATGCACACTTAGGCTCTGACTACCAACTAAAAGAAAAAGAAATAAAGACAAAAGAATAGCTATATTCTGAGTCAGGACCCAGAAAGCCAGGTAGACCCAGCACAATGTCCTGACAGCTGGTTTCTAGGAACTGCACCAGAGAGTGGGAATTCAGGAAAGGTGAAGTACTTTGATCTTGACTGCAGGTAAGCCCTCATCCTTGTTCAGTAAAGACTTTTCAGGTGTAGCCTATTGGGGTAGGAGCATCCACAGCCATGTAATAGTGCTCTATACTCTATAAACTCATTGATTTCCAAAGTGAATTTTGGTGATACTCTGCCTTGATTTGTTCTTGAGACTGGGGGAGACAGGGTAGATGTTGCTTACATGCACCCCGGGAAGGGATTTTAGCAACAATAACAAGCAAACACAAATCTTTTTTTTTTTCTTAAACAGGAATTCTCATTAAAAAAAAAAAAAAACTTTCTCAATGCCATTTATTGGCCCCATGCAATAGGCTATGTTTTGAAATGTGAATATTATTATACCTAATCCTTGTAACAGTCATTTGTAGGTGGCAATATTCCAGTTTTTATAAGAAAACAGAGACTTGGAGATGCCACAAATTTTGCTAAGAACATAGGAATGATAAATAGTGGTGGACCTGACGTTTGAGTTATGAGAATCACCACACTCTGTATTGAGCTCTACTACTAAGCATCGACTGTAGCACGTGGTGCTAGGGAGAGGCAGGATACTTTTATACATTATCTATTGTCAAGGTGGAATGCAAAACTCCCAAAATGGAGGTCTCAATAGGACAAAGGGTCAGTACTTTTAAAAGTTAACGACACTTGTAGAATGAGTCACTGTCTTACAAACTGTTGATATTAGACCCATCTGAATGATTAGGATAACCCTCGCCAATGTTTTTAATCTACCATTGACCGTGGAGTGACTGTGTGCCTGAATAAAACACAATTATTGAGTGTTAGTCCGAGAAAGGTCTTCCATACCGAGTTAAGCAAAGTCCTTGAGAGTTCTTGAAAAGTTTTGCAAAATCACAAGAAATCCACTCAGCGTTAAAGCCTGGTGCAGGTGAGACCTAGAATCCTGGATAGTTAGAGGGGTCTACACAGAACAGTAAAATTTAGGTCCAATTTTGAGTTGAAGGGCTGAGGAGGGAGTCGAAGTGCACTCCAAGTGTAGCATCATTGGGAACTGCGGGATTACAGCAGTCAGCCCCTTAAAACAATGCACCTCTCACTAAGGGGGCAGCTCAAGAGAGCGTGGCCTCTGGGAAGGGCACGATCTAGCTCTGCACTCCATCCCCCACCCGCCCACTCACACACACTCCATCCGGATCCCGTCCCGATCTCGATCTTGATCCCGATCCCAAGATTCTGTCAGGCCCGTGCGGTCCAGCTTCCGTTTCCGGTCCTCGGCTCTGCCTCAGCGGAAACTTCGCTCCTGGGTCGGAAAAGGGGCGGGCCCGCAGAGGCCGCGCAGGCGCACGGCAACCGCTGCAATGGCGGTGCCGGGCTCCTTGAATAGATATCTGCTGCTCATGGCACAGGAGCACCTGGAGTTCCGCCTGCCGGTGAGCCGTCCTGGGGTACCCGACGCAGAGGCCCACACTCATTCGCGCGCCAGATTGGGAATCTCCGGGCAGCCGCACGCGCCCGGCTTGGGGCGGGGGTGAGAGGTCGCTGGTGGGATGATACTGCTCGGGGACCTTTCTCCAGGACCAGCCTTGTCATTCATTCCTCTGCACGTGAGCCTGCCGCCGCAGTTAAGCAGGAGAACCTGATCAGGCCCTTCAGGACTCCTGGTCCGACCGAGGACAGAGACGTCCCATAAGGGCGCTCAGGGGAGTGTGAGAAGTATCAGAATATGAAGTTCAGGCGTGGTGGAAGGCTTGAGGGTGGTACTTGATGAAGTTGGGAAATAGCTTTTTGTTTATTCAAGAAACGTTTTCCAAAACGCGTGTAATCGCGTGCACCGGGCGATGAGGATGTGCTGACTGACAGCTCTGCCCTCAAAGAGCCTACTGTTCATTTAGGCTCTAAGCAGACAGCTAAGCACAATTGTAACGTTGTTAAGTGCAGTGATGGGGTGTCCAGTAAGGATAGATGGGAGCTTTTAAGACGGCAGTCTTGTCCAGTGAGGGATGGGGGCTTTCATGGTGGCCTCCGTGATGAGGTGACATTGAACGACAGGATTATTTAGCTGGGCCGAGGAAGTAGGTACATTATAAGTATAAACTGTTGTTCATTACTGGTCATCAGTTACGTGGCAGAGCGTGGTCAGGAGAGAAGTAGGTTGATGGACCAGAAAAAGCAGACTTGAGAACTCTATAACTTGGAAGAGGGATTAAAGAGGTTAAAAGAGGCAGAATTAGGTTGTTTTTAATAGAAAGCAAAATGAAGAATGGACTTGAGAGGAATAAGACTTGAGTTGACACTGCTTAAGACTCTGTTGAAATGGTAAATGATTAAGAAATTAACCTAGTGTGAGCAATAAAGACAGGATAGAATTGCAGTGTGGGAGATGGGAACAAATCTAGACTTGTGATAAATATTTGTGATTATTTTGCATAAGAAAACTAGGAAAGGGTGGGATTTTTTCAAGTGTAAGTTCTGAAAGTGGTGAGACGATGGAATTGAAGAGATGGCTCACTGGTTAGAGCACTCACTGCTTATCCTGAGGACCCGAATTTGATTACCAGTACCCCTATCAGGAAACTTGCTTACAGCTATCTGTAACCCTACCTATGGGGAGAACCCACACTTCTAGACCATCAAACCTTCCTTAGTTTTCTAAGTGTACACAGGGTTTATTTATTTATTTATTTATTTTAGAGTGGTAGGCCAAGTACAAATGCTTGGAAGCATTGACATTAAAGGAAAACTGAAGAGGAGACCATGCACCATGCCAAACCTGAGGGCCTCAGACGCAAGGAGAGAGTGGCAGTTTAGAGAGCAGAAATGAATAGTGTTGAATGCATGTGTTTTGGGGTTTAAAAGGTTACTCTCTGAAAAGATAAAAGTGAGGAAATGGAAATAAGGCAGACTTCTTGAATATTAGAATATGGGAGGGGAAAGTACAAGATTAGTTACTGTTTGAGGGGACTAGGGAATAGATCTGCAGAGAGAACGGAGCTTCAGTCACCACCATCTTGATTGCCATAATATCTACATTTCTGTGCTGATCTCGGCATAGGGACATCCTACCCCAGGTAGCTGTGATGACGTACATGGGAAGGAACAATAGCCAAAGGATGTGGTAGTATTTAGAAGATCTGACAATCAAATTATAGTCTTACTCCCATGCTTTGTAATGTCTCCTCTACAAATTTGTGTTATTCATGTAAAGAAGCCTTTGGGCTATCTTCACTGATTTACCTATCATCTGTACTAGTCTGTGATTCATTCACATGTTTGAATTGAATGTACCCCTTCACACACTCACTCACCTCTTAAGATTATTTTTATTCTTTGAAATTTTCATACAATTTGCTTTGATTGGACTTAGTTCCAATTCCTCCTAAAACTCATAACTTTCTAATACAAGAAACAATTTGATGTATTGCCAAAGGAAAACTAGAAGTAGCATTTGTTGTCAAATCTCCCATTCTTTTTGGTTTGGAATGGACAATTTGATGATGTGGCTGTCTTTCTCCTGTCGGCTATGGGCTGGGTGTTAAGACCTTCTGGCAGGGAGGAGAGGAGAATGTTGGCAACCAGCAGCAGGGTCACTTAACTTTTCCTTAGTTCCTTTTGCCATAGGGCCAACATAGAGAATTCATTTGCTATTGAAGGAAACAAATTTTCAGTGTTAAGAGGCAAATTCTTTGTATAGTCATTTTGTGTTTGTCAGTCCAAAGAGATTCCTTCGAAGAATCTATGTGTTGTTTGATCAGATTTCCCCTTTGTGTGCATGTTACATTTAAATCTGTACCGTGGGCAGGTGTGGTGACATATTCCTGCAATCCTAGCATTTGGGAAATGGAGGCATGTGAATCAGGAGGTCACAGCAGCTGTTGAGACTCTGTCTCAAAAAATAAACAAACAAAAATAAAAGAATCACTGTATTAGTCCTTTCTAGATTTATTCCTATTGGGAAAGGAGTTTAACCATGTAGTTATCCATACTGAATTCACAATTATGGCCCCTAGCTAATTATTTCTTTTCCAAACATCTTGAAGTCATGTTTAATAATTTATTTTATTTTGATTAGTTGTTTGTCTTATTTACTAATCTATAGCATCTGTGAATGTTTTCTTCCTCTCCAAACCAGGACAGGACAGTTTGTTTTTGCCGCTCATACATAAAATTTCTCAGAAATTGCTTAATCATGGTTAGGACCATACAAATCTCAGCTCCACATTTCAATTGCCTGATGTTGAAACTTCAATGCCTCAAGTAGATATCAGCCTACTCTTTTATTTCTATTATTAGTCCTGTTTTTCTTAGCAGGCTCAGTTTAAAATCACTCTTCTTGGTGGTGTGACGAAGTAGCTGCTGGAAGTAACCACATGGAAGAGCTTTGTTTTGACTCCTGACTTGAGAGAGTATAGTTGAGGCATGGTGAGTGGCTTAGTGTGTGGCAGGATCACAGGGAAGCAGCCTGCTCACTTGACAGACACAGAGAAATGGAGCAGGTTGGAATCATCCTCAAATCCTGCCTCTTAGTGATAGACTCAGTCATCCCTGGCTCCACAAGCCAAGGGCTGAGATTTAAAACATTGGAGGACATTTCTTAAATACACAATAACAATATGTATTTTCTCTGTATTTTCAATACAGGAAATAAAGTCTTTACTATCACTGTTTGGAGGCCAGTTCATTAACAGTCAAGAAACTTATGGAAAGGTAAGATTTTTCTTTTCTTCTAAGGAGAATAGGTAGTTTATTTTGGAGCCTATTTAAGTGACCATGGTCTGGGAATACAGATTCAGGCTACCCCAAATTCCATGTTCCAGTGTGGGAGCTTCATAGTTTCACAGAACAAAGGAAGCCCAAAATCAGCCCTTATGGCAATTCCTTTGTTCAGAGTGACCCCCTCCTATGAAAAGAAGGATGGAGGGGAGAATATGGATATAATGGTGTGAGAGAACGCCGCTGTGCTTGGCCAGGTTCTGACAAGGGGCTGTAAGGGTGGAGCTTACCAGTTTGTTTTTGGGGCCAGAGGACAAAGAAACCCTTGCTGATACATCTGAAGCTTTTCCCCTTAAATAAAATAATACAATAATCAAAATTAATAGCAATATATAGACACCACGACTTTACATCAGTGTTAATTCGCAGGATGCCTCAGACCGCAGCTCTCCAGAAAATGAGTGACCAGGGTGAGCATGGTAGCATATCCCTCAATTCTGTTGCCTGGGAAGTTAAGACAGGAAAGTGACAAGTTTGATCCTAGCATGGACGACTTAGTGGGACTTTGTCTTTGAGGGGGGTTAACATAGTTTGGTTTCTTTTGTGGTGATAAACACTAGGACCGAAAGCAAGTCGTGGAGGAAAGATTGATTTGGCTTTGCAGTCTGATTCTAGTCTATCATGGAGGGATATAAGGGCAGCGACCTGGAGACAGGAACTGGAGCACAGACTGTGGAGGGATGCTGCTTACTGACTTGCTCGGCTTGCTTTCATAAGCACTTCAGAACCACTTGCCAGGGATGGTACAGCTCCCAGTGGGGTGGGCCCTTCCATATCCATCGATATAATGTCCCCGAGATTTAACCCCCTGCCAGTCTGATGGAGGCAGCTAGGTGTGTCAGGTAACAAAAAGCAAACCGTATAGAGAGCAAGGAAAGGGGGAAGGGAGGCGAGATTTAGTAATTAGGAAATAAATCAAGGTAATATACTTAGAAGTTAAAATAATGATGTTATAAGGAGTGGTTAGTAATAACGGCAATTCCAGTAATACAGTCTCACGTGCATTAGTTTTCTAGTTCAAACTTCATAAAGGCAAGAGAAAAGTAATTTTAACCTGGATGTTGCGCACAAGCTTATAATTTCAGCACTTTGAGGTGGAGGCAGGAGGCTCTTGACACATTGAGTATGAGGCTCATCTGGAATACATAAATGTATAGAAAGTAGTTTTTTTTATCTCTAGAAGTAAGTTTAAAGTGTATTGACATTTTCATCTATAGAGTCTTTATAAAAATTTTCTTACACTGTAATTTATTAACAGGTTATCTACAAATAGTTTACCTTTGTATTATCAGAATGATTCTAATTTTGATCAGAGTCAAACCAGGTGCTTTTACTGACACGTAGGAATTTTTCCTGTTGTCTTCCTGAATCAGAGTGTATTAGACTTTGGAGCCTTTTAGTAATTTTCATGCTTTTTTTTTCTTTCAGTCTCCATTTTGGATTCTTAGCATTCCCTCTGAAGATATTGCCAGAAACTTAATGAAACGGACAGTGTGTGCCAAGTAAGAGAAACTCCTCGTGTTGTGCTGCATGCCACACACGGTCTCACAACCACTCTGTTCTGATTTGTGCCAGGGGAGGTGTTAAAGGCTGGGAGGATGGTAGTGGAGCGGGGATCGTCTTAGCCTGAGTTACATAGATTTACCATTGGGTGCTGATGAGGAACAGAATCACCTTCTGGAGCTGAGGTGACGGACACTTGCAAGTGTAGTGGGAGGACACTGCAGAATGACATATCCTTACATAGTTTGAATATGGATATGAATGAATGCCACATCTAGTGTCACCAAGTCTTAAAAATCTAAAACTGCTTTTCTCATTTTCAATTTTTAGTTGATCAGATTGGTAAATTTTAATTTTTAAAATGTGGGAACTGTCATGAAGTATATTTGTTAGAGAAATGAGTTCTCTTTTTTTTCCCCTTGGTTTTTTGAGACAAGGTTCTCTGTGTAATTCTAGTTGTCCTGGAACTCACTTTGTAAACCAGGCTGGCCTCAAACTCACAGAGACCCACTTGCCTATGCATGCGTGCTGGGATTAAAGGTGTGCACCACCACCGCCCAGTAGAGAAATGAATTCTAACAAGCATATTTTTTAATAAATTGATCATTGTTCATTCTTGTTTCTAGATTTTTATCTTTAACCTCCCTTATTTCCATTTTCTTTAAATTTTTTTGATTGACACTTAGTTGCTTTTTCCCCTGACTATAATGGCAGATTATTGAAATATTTTTCCTTAAGATTTTGGTTTTAATAATGGAATGAAAAGTATATAGCAATGTTTTGTAATGTTATGGTATGACGGTCACCTCCATATTTATCTAACTTTTTCCTGTTGAGAAGGATGCATAATTCTAAATCTAATTTCTTAAATTTCAACTTGTTAAAGATCTTATTATTAAATATAAATGACTAGAAAATGGAAATAACAACAAAAATAAAAACGACTATTTGTATGCTACTTTATTTTATGGTTGTTTGAAGTGTTTGAATTCAAGAAATAAGGGATATTACTTTTAAAATAGCTACTTGAGTACTCAAAACAAATATGTTGAAAGCTCATTTCTTTTGATGCATATGTTTGATGAGTAGTAAAATGAATAATTGTATAATAACTGTAAAGTATATAACATTTTACTTTTGGTTGTTCTTCATTTCTGTGGGTGAGATACTCCTAAAGAAACTGCTAAGTAAGAGTAGCATTACTTGCTTGCTCTAAATTCAATAGAAGAGGAATTCACTTTCAAAGATGGTATATGCAACCTACAGATAATTAAACTAGACTTACAAGGTCATATTGAAATATTAAAAATAAATTTTTCTGAGGTTGAGTTAGGCTTAAAATTAGATTAAAATTTTTCTAGTAAGGACTTTTAGAAGATATTTGTATGTATTTTTATTTTATATGCATATGTTTGTCTGAATATCTGTATGTATTCATGTGTGCAGATGCCCTCAGAGGCCAAAAGATAGACTTGGATCCCTTGGAACTGTAGTTATCAGTGGTTATAAGCTGCTTGATGTGGGTGCTGGGAACCAAATTGGGTTTCCTGCAAGGGCAGCAAGGGCAGCTCTCTTAGTCACTGAGCCATCTCTCCAGCCCCTTTCCACAAAATGAAACATACAGCAAACCCTAAGTACTCACTTTATTAGAGCTCAATGTTTTGAGTTACGTAGTAAATTTTAACAAATGATAACTAAATAGTAATGATAGGGTTTTTCTCTGCTTACCATTCCCCTTTTTAATGGGGAATGTGTTTAGAAAATTTTGATTTTCTGCAGCTTTTCTTACAGTGCCATGTGATTTTGGAATGTTTATATTACCCAATATAATATATAATAAAAAAGGCATGGGGTATTGCTCAGTGGTTGACAGCATCCTTAACATACATAAGACCCTGGGGTCAGTCCCTAGCCCCCCTCAAATATATGCATATATATTTATGTATGTGGATAAATGGTGAAAAATTGGAAAACCGCTAACTTAATGTTGGATTTCCCATTTTTCATGTCAGGTTCACCTACTTTGTATAGTTTGGGGTTGTATTGTTGTTTGTTTCCAGCATGCGTATTTCTCATGAATAGATGAGAAAGCATGACCAATGATGGTTTTATTGTAGCAAGCATAAAGAACTAGCAAAATTACTATTATGTATTGCTGTGTGAACTAAGTTCTTTACTGAGGTTAGTACCAACCATTTATTTCCTAGGTCTATATTTGAACTATGGGGTCATGGAAAATCTTCTGAGGAGCTGTATACTTCTCTTAAAAATTACCCTGTGGAGAAGATGGTGCGTAGTGAAATGTGATTTTACGTAGGCACATGTGCCTGTTCTGTAGAATGCATATGCTTACAAAATTTATCTGCTTCTATTTTAGGTTCCATTTCTACATTCAGAGTCTACATATAAAATAAAGATTCATACATTTAATAAAACATTGACTCAAGAAGAAAAAGTCAAACGAATAGATGTAAGTGAAATTAGCTAAATCGAAGCCTGTGGACTAAATACACTCTAGCTGTTGATCTGTTAAGGCTTTCTATGTTGTGTATGTGTATCTTGTGTAGTTGTGACATCAGACCCGCACAGCATGTATTACTAGATAAGCACAGTTTTCTATGATTCTTTTTATAAATTCTTAGAATACATTAGAATTTGTCGGTAGAGGTTGCTTGTTCATTCCTGACTTCCCAAACCTGAAATAATCAAACAGAAAATATGTTAATTGCAATACTGTTTGGCCAATAGCTTAAGCATATTTCTAGCTAGCTCTTACATCTTAAATTAACCCATTTCTATTTTTTTCTTAAATTTTACCATGAAGCTTGTGATTTACTGGCAGGTGGGAGGGATATCTTTCTCCCCCAGAGACTGCATGGTATTTCCCTGACTCTGCCTACTCTCTCTCTCTATATCTCTGTTTACATTTTCCACCTGACTTTACTCTGTTAAACCATTGGCTGAAAACAGCTTTTTTATTAACCAATGACAATAAAACATATTCACAGCTTACAGAAGGGAATCCTGCATCACCTCCCCTTTTCTGTCTAATAAAAAAGGAAGGTTTTTAACTTTAACATGGCAAGATTACATACCAAAAAAAGTTATCAACCAAGAATTACAGTTACAGTACTTATATTTACTTTATCTTTTATCATAACTAAGGAAAACTATAAGTATAGCTATCTAGTCTTCAACTCCATCAAAGACCCCAGAAGGATATAATATTACCTAAGTTAACAGAAAGTACATTGTAAGTAACTTCCAAAACTCTAGAATTGACAGAGACATCTTGCTGCCTGGACAGTCACCCAAAATTTTTCTGTACCATTTGGGGCATCCATCTTCAGCCTACTGTCCCATAGTTTCCAGGAGACTTTTCCATGAAGCAGGAAATTTCAAAGACAGTTTCACATATATTAGCAGTTTGTCAGTCGTTTTCTTCTGTGTCCTGCAGAATGTCTGGCAGATTCTTTCTTGAAGCAGGAACCCCAAAGAACCATGCACCTTTAGTTTAGGCAGGTTCAGCAGTCATTTTTCTGTGGGTCCTGTTTGTCCAGTTCATATAGCATAACATCAAGCAGTCCAAGCAAAAACAGTTTCTTGCCCAAATGGCTAGCCAACTCCATAAGGAGCCTCTTTGATGCCCATCTCCCTCATGAAGTAAATGGTGCTGCCAGGAGCAGATGTGTCTCGCTATGAAAAGTCCTAAGTTTTTAAAACATTTTAAATACCATATTATGTAAGTCTTTGAAAGATTTGAAGAATAGCTATCCTGAAATATACCTCTGTATATCTAGAAAACCTAACTAACATGATTGCAAGCTTGATTTTATAGATGACTATTAACTTGTATTTCTTAATTATGCATTACATTTTAAAATGAGCTGTACAAATACAATCTTTTTTTAAAATTTATTTATTTTTTATTATGTATACAACATTCTGCCTCCATGTGTGCCTGCAGGCCAGAAGAGGGTGCAGAGCTCATTACAGATGGTTGTGAGTCACCATGTGGTTGCTGGGAATTGAACTCAAGACCTCTGGAAGAGCAGGCAGTGCTCTTAACTGCTGAACCATCTCTCTAGCCCCAAATACAATATGTTAAGAGCAGTATGTATGTATGTATATATAACAAAACTGACCTTAAATTTGTATCAATTAGACCAAGATACATATCTGTGCAAAATATTCATCTCTATAGCATATCCCTCTTTAAATGTAAATAGACATTATAACCAATATTTGGGAATTTGGGCATAGTTCTTTCCTAACTGCTTCCTGCTTTTTGTTGGGGAAGAATTTTTGGTGACTCATAGATACCTTTCAGGACTTTTTGTTCCATCAAATCACATTAGTCTGGAAGGAATCCACAGGTTCTCATCTTCTGTGGAAACAAAAGCAGAACCTCTTTTCCAAAGCAACATATCCTTAGACCCAAATTTTGAAGTCTAGATACCTTTAAAACTTATATATTGGTTTAGCTTAGCAGTTCCCAGAATCCAATGTCTCTCTGTACTTAGCTTATTCACAGACAAAAAATTCAAAGAAAACACAATATTATACATAATCCAGACTCTCTTGTACATTCCAACTTTACATGGCTTATTTTTCATACTGTATTACTTTTTCTGCAAGCTTAATAGTTATTATCTTTACTCCTTTAGTCTATGACTGTACCCTTTTATATTATAACTGTCTATACTCATTTTCCTCTTTCCCCTAAGCCAATGTACATTTTTCCAACACTGTGACCCATTTAGAGGTCTTTTTTATTTTAATTTGTCTTGTGTGCATAGCTGTAATTATTTTTTGATCAGGAATGCTTTTTTAAATGTTAAGTGTCATGGCTAGAACTAAGGCTGCTTTGCCTTTGGCTCTGCCTAGTCCAACATGACAGAGGTCCATTCAGCTCTAGCTCTGCAAGCCATGCTCATAGCCCCATTTGGAGGCACACAGTGGGTCTGTGCTGCCATTAGCGATTTGTAGCACTCTGCTCACAAACTCCAAATGCTTAGCCTCCTGAAAGAGACAGAATCTGCCTTCTTTTATGCTGAGTTGGTAAGCCTTTTCTTTTTTCTTCTATTTTTTAAATTGATTTTATTGAACTGTACATTTTTCTCTGCTGCCCTCCCTGCCTCTCCTTTCTCCTTCAACCCACTTCCTTGGTCACCATGCTCCCAATTTGCTCAGGAGATCTTGACTTTTTCTACTTCCCACGTACATTAGATCCATGTATGTCTCTCTTAGGGTCCTTATTGCTATCTAGGTTCTCTGGGATTGTGATTTGTAGGCTATTTTATTTTGCTTTATGTATAAAAGCCACTTATGAGCCATGGTGCTTCTACTCGTTGCCAGCAAACAGTCCATCTCAAAAATGTCGTACTTACCTCTGTTCTTTTGTGTCTAGAATTCCTTTTCAAGCTTTCTCAGGTTTTATGTGGATGTAGTTGACTGCGTTGGTGTCATTCTGTTTGACCGTTCTCATAAAGGCTATTGTCTGAAGGAGTTCCCACAGCAAGAGTTACTTTTTTTCTTTTTTTTAAGGCCCTTGAATTTCTGCCGTTTGAAGGAAAAGTGAACTTAAAGAAACCACAGCATGTATTCTCTGTTTTGGAGGACTATGGTTTGGACCCAAACCGTATCCCTGAAAATCCACATAATATTTATTTTGGTAGATGGGTAAGCAAGTTCCTTCCATCTGTCTTACTTCTTTCTTTGAAAGCTAATGCAGGGTGGGGATGGGATCAGCGGTAGAGCTCTGGTCAAAGCAGATACCATGTCCTCCTTTGTATTTGATTTTCTTGTTATATGTAAAAATTGGAAGCAACTGGAGTTAGAACTGCTCTATGTATTAAAATTGCTGAAAAGTATGTGATTATAATTGGTGTTTTTCAGAAATTCCAGTGAAACATAAGGAACTTGTTAGAGATAAGACCTAGGAAATGGGGGTTACACCTGATGGAGAAACCAGATATCCCAGAATGTCTGGAGTACTGTTTTAGTGAAACAGAGAGAGGGCAGAGTGCTGGGCCTGTTCAGTGATCTCTCATGAAAACCTCAAATCTGAGTCTTCATTCTGAGGGGAGATGGAGTTATAGAAGTGTCTGCTTACTTCCCTGAGGCTGCATAGGTGGATGGAAGCTGAGAGCCATGTTATGGATGCTTGTCTTTTCAGAGAAAGAGAAAAGGGAGATGAGAAAACTCAAGACCACACACTAGAAAAATTATATTTAAATTTGATTCCTACTTGGTTTGAAAGCACAAAGTAGATGGAAAGGCATTAGAGAAGAAAAAAGATTGACTGTAACGGTCTCAGTCCTGTCATTTTTGAAGGATTAAGTTTAGAACACGAATACAGGAAAAAGTTCTCTTTAGCAAGGTGCTATCATTTTTTTTCTTTTTCTTTTTCTTTTTCTTTTTCTTTTTTTTTTTTTTTTTTCCCAAGACATGGCTTCTCTGTAGCTTTGGTGCCTGTCTTGGAACTAGCTCTTGTAGACCACGTTGGGCTTGAACTCACAGAGATCCACCTGCCTCTGCCTCCCAAGAACTAGTATTAAAGGCATGCGCCACCACTGCCCGGCTTGGTGCTATCATTTTTATTGTGAATAATTATCTTGAGTCTGTTCTGTATAGCTAGACTAACTTTATAAAATCTCTGATCTAGATTGCAGATGGGCAAAGAGAGCTAATTGAGTCATATAGTGTCAAAAAGAGACATTTTATTGGAAATACAAGTATGGATGCTGGCTTATCATTCATCATGGCCAACCATGCAAAAGTGAAAGAAAACGATGTTGTCTTTGATCCATTTGTTGGAACAGGTATATAAGTCTATTTGTTACACCAAGGCGTAGAGTTTGCTTATTTATAGCAGTGAAGGTTATAGTATGCTTTGGATGAGAGATTGACTTTACAAACTTTTCTTTTCTTGTGTAATAGCTCATATTTAACACTTTGTCATTTGATGGATGTGACTAGAATATTGTGGGTTTTATTCCAAGTAAGCCACTGGGGGGAGCATCAGGCTTATTTTTTCACAGATGCCTTGCAGCATATCATATCTTGTAGAAAATGTATAGAATCATTATTTATTTAATTAGGAAACTCTTATGGGAAGAATGAAAAAAAACTAAAGAGAAAATATTCATGCTTTTAAATAAATAGCCATGTATTTGGATAGAGGAAAACATATCTTTGATCCTGTTTGTGGGAGTTTTTGAGTAAGTGTGAAGCTAAAAGTGACTAAGTTGCTATAGTCTCGAGCGTTCTTGCTGACACCATAACCCATGTTCTTTGAACTTCCCTGGGATGCTGTCCTTATTAAGTCCATGGAAAGCCTGAAATTCCAAGTTGATTTCATCTGATTCTGATGTTTTCCTTTTCTCAGATTGCTTTCTTGCTTGATGTAGCCCTTAGGCAGGCAATACTCTTATTTAAATTTTATCTGACAAACCTCATTATTGTTTAGTTAGTGTCACCACAGCTGTCTTGGCAGCAGTGGAGAGGCCAGGCCAGTGCCTGTTGAGTCTGTGGGTCAGGTACTATATTGAACTCTAATACTGATGACAGCCAGCATGAAGACACTTTGAAAGTCTTCCTGAGGAAATTGTGATGCAAGGAGAGTCTATGTGACGTGGTCAGGGTTACCCTGTGTATCGCTTTTGCAGATTCAGACTCCAACAGTTCATGTATTTGTTGCTTCTGCAGAGCTGTCTCTCTCTGCATAAAGTTTTCTGGCCACTACTTGCACCTAAATTAACTTCAGGAGTGTGACTAAATGTGATTAGGAAGGACAAGTATCTGATCTAGAGTTCCTAGGGGTGGAAGGAAGTTTTGTAATTTGTTTTGAACTAATTTACCAGTGCCCTTTCATTGTACTCTGGCATGTTTCCACGGACCCCTCTCTCAGCGTGCTAGTTTGTTCTTCTCTACCTTCATTTCCCTAAACACATTCTCTCACATTTTGAGCTTGTTATTGGAACCAATATCAAGTTTACTTACAAATTATAAGAACAAAGAATATCCACATATCCAATCCCAGCTTAAGCTTTTGTTAACATTTGGCTTCTTTTATCTTATCATTTTATTTTATTTATATTTTTTCTTGAATCATTTGAAGGTTACATTTATTTTGTTATTTTAAAAGTTTATTTATTTATGTTTGACCTTACATGTATGTCTGTTGATGGTATTGGATCCACTTAGAACTGGAGTAACAGACAGTTGTGAGCTGTCGTGTGTGTTCGGAACTGAATTGGGTCCTCTGGGAGGTCAGCTAGTGCTCTTAACCCCTAAGCCATCTCTTCAGCCCCTGAACATTACATTTTTTACATTCCTCTCTCAAACACATGAATACACGTTCTTAAGAATAAGAGTTTTATATATATTTGCATTTATCTATTTATATTCTGCAGTTGGGTGTTATATTTTACTGTTAAAGTCATTTTGATTTGGAACACTACTAACACTTTTAAGTTTAAAATAGTTTTCATTTGAGTGGTTTGAATTTCATTAGAATGGGTTATTCATTCCCACTAGAGATGTTATGTCCTTAAGGCTTACATACCCTGCTTCTCTGCCTCAGTATTAATACTATTTTTTTTTTAGCATGGTACCAATTGAATTTGATTTTCCATGTGTGATGGTTAGTTACTGTTTTATTTTATATTCTTGCAGTTGATCTAGCATTTGTGGGAGGTCCTTTAAGAGCTTGTAAATATACTGCTCCTTATCCAGGTGTCTCTTCATCTTGTCAAGTCAGATTGATCTTCCAGTGCAGGATTCCTGTTTCAATCAGTCTTTTCTTTGATGATTTCTCCACTCTAGCACTTCTGTATTACTGATCTGCATTCATTATTTTTTAAACAAGAAACCTTTCTTCTCTTCCTGTTGCAAATTTCACTTATTATCAACAGGAAGTCCTAAGTCTGTCCCTCTGTGTCAGGTGATGGAGAAGTCCTGATACCCTTCATTATTAGCTATGAGCCATTGGACTAATTTGCCGTCAGCCCAGCTCTGCCCACCCCTTTCACACTGAGTCTGTCTTTGCGACCTACCAGTCTTTTTTTTCCCCCTTAGAGAACTTTTAAAATTTCTGGCTTATTTTTTTTCATACCAAAGCCCTGGTGTCAGTCATTTCTCCCAGGAACCCTTGTTTCTTTTACTGGGGAGATGGTATCAAAAACCAAGATTCTAAAACTTCTCCGAGGGTAAACAAAGAAATATGCATGTGTATAAGCGTACTATACATGTTAGTGCAAATGGAAATACACATGCATATACACACATGTAAACCTACTATTATTAGAAATCATGGGTTAGCACATGTAGCAGATATTTCTGCTGATTACCACAGATTCGTTTCCTCCCTATTCCAGTCCTATTGATGTATATCTTTCTCTTCACAGAGTTCCCTGGTTCTTATGTTCAGCATGTTTGCTCTTTCGCTCATTTCTGTAATTATCTGAAAGAGACTTACTTTGCCCATGCCACTGGGGGAAAAGAATCCTATTTGTTCTCTGTTGCTCTGATAAAACACCACGGCCAAGGCAAGTCATAGTGGAAGAGTTTGTTTGGACTCAATGGTTCTAGAGGGATAGGAATCCATCCTGATGGGAAAGCGTGGCAGCAAGTGACAGGAACAAGGATGCTGAGAGTTCACATCTTTTACCATAAGTACCAAGCAGAAGTAACAAATTGGAAATAGACAAGACTTTTTACTCCCAAAGCCCGTGCCCAGTGAGTGGCAAGCAACCTTCCTCAAACATCTCCAAACAGCACCACCAACTAGGACCAAGTATTCAAATAATCTGAGTTTGTGGGGGATATTCTTATCCCAACTACCACACCTACCATAAGCAATTTAAGATTTATTTTCAATTCTCTCCATGCTTAAGGAGCAATAAAGTCAAATTCTGTGCTTGCTTTCTTCTCCTTTTGAAAGTCACTTGGCTTCATTAGATCTCTGCCCTCTGCTTCTGCTGTTTTTTATTGTGTTGACATTTACACATGCAGAGATTCACTCGCATCTACACAATAATGTGCTTTCCTTTTTGTTCCTTCCTTTGGTGAACAACCTTGTTTTCTAATTGATTCTGTTTTCTTTCCTAGTGATATGCTTATATAGGTACAATTTCTTATTCATACTCTTTTTATATAAAATGTTTGATACTCCACATGTTGTCTCTTGGTTTTTTGTTTGTTGTTGTTTTCCATTTAACAGTATTTCTTAATAGAATACAAGCACTCTGTCACTGAGCTACATTCCAGCCATTTTCATTCTCTTCTGTAGTATTGATCCATACGTATATTCTATAGTTTGTTCAAATGATTTTCTATACATACCTGGGTACTGTTAGTTTCTTATACTTGAAAATAATGCTTACAATGAGCAATACACACACACACACACACACACACACACACACACACACATACACACACCTACCTTTGTAATTTTGAGGCTAGAGCGCTGGTGTAAATTTCAGGAAGTAGGAGTGCTAAGTTAAAGGGAATATGGAATTTTACCAGATGCTGCTAAATAAATTCTCTACTGTTCATCTTTGGGTTTCTGCAGCCGTGTAAGAGTTCTTGTTCTGCAAGTTCACTACTGAAGAATATATTGTTAAGCTTTGTAGTTTTCCTGATTTGTTAGGTGGAAATGGTATCAAAAAAAATTGTCTCAGCATTTTTTAAGGGCCATTGTACAGGTATTTTTGGGTAGACTTTTATGTCTTTTGCCTCCTGCCTTATGTGAAGATACTTTTTAGAGATATTAGCACTTCCTCTTCCAGTATTTCTGTAATAAATCACAATACTTCCTTCCATATTGCCAGTTATCATTTACTTTGACAGTATTTGCTTTCTTGCCATATAAGTTTTCTGTATACTTAAGTTATAAAGGATTCAACTAAACTTCCTTCTAGTCCCTTTGAAGCTGTGTATATATATATATATGTATATATATATATATATATATATATATATATTTTGTTTGTTTGTTTTAGAACTCTGATCCATTTGGGGTTTATTCTTTTGGGTGTGATGAATGGTCATGATTTGTCTTTCTCTAGAAGCTTAGCTCTTAACTTTTATTTTGTTTTTAAGGTTGAAAAATTTTATTTCTTACTATGGTTTCTTTCTCTCCTTTTAACATATTCCCTTTAACCTAGCAATCCTACTTCCCGAAATTTACACCAGTCCTCTAGTCTCTGAATTACAAACACACACATACACACACACACACACACACACACACACACACACATATGATTGCTCATTGTAAGCATTATTTTCAAGTATAAAATATTGGAAACTACCAGCACCCAGGTATGTATAGAAGATCATTTGAACAAACTATAGAATACACATATGAATTAAAAGTACAGAAGAGAATAAAAATGGCTTTCTGTGTGTGTGTGTGTGTGAACATAAGTGTGCATACATGTGCATGTGATGTATGTTTCTGGGTGCACTCATGCCACTGTAGGTATGTGAGAGTCTGAGGACAGTTTTGTCGAGTTGGTTCTCCTTCCACCTTTATATGGGTTCTAGGGGTTCAATTCAGGTAATCAAGCTTCTGCCACCAGCACTTTACCCACTAAGCCATCTTGTTGGTTCTTTCTTAAACCTTAAAACAAACAAACCAGCCTTTTTTATGAAGTAAAAACAGGTCTTTGGAACTATGTAATATTCGTGCACAAAATGACTAGTATGCACACTTAGGCTCCACCTTAGAGTTTAAAAAGAACACTATCATAGTAGGGGAGGAAAGGGATTGTGCTCTTAATGCAGTTGAGCTAGGAGTATTGTGAAATTCCGCTTCACAGCAGTCGAGGTGCTGGCTACCTTGTGCATGGTGAGGTGACTGGCTGCTGTGGGTGGCTCCCTGCTGTGGATGGCTCCCTGCTGTGGATGGCTCCCTGCTGTGGGTGGCTCCCTGCTGTGGGTGGCTCCCTGCTGTGGGTGGCTCCCTGCTGTGGGTGGCTCCCTGCTGTGGGTGGCTCCTTGCTGTGGGTGGCTCCCTGCTGTGGGTGGCTCCTTGCTGTGGGTGGCTCCCTGCCGTGGGTGGCTCCCTGCCGTGGGTGGCTCCCTGCTGTGGGTGGCCTGTTTGGATCATCTCACTCCTCACATAGAAGAGTAAGGTCAAATGATAGGTGAATCTTTAGAACAGATACCACTAAAATATATTCTCATAATCTGTGTTTATGGTTTAAACTTGGCTTTAGGATATAAGTCAGTTTTTGACACTTCTAACTTTAAGCTAGGTATAACCCCTAATTTTGAACAGAAAGTCCTCAAGGGTCATTGGTTTCCTCATAGAACTGATTTACAGACAGCTTGTGTCTTGGAAAGGACCAGACCAGTAGCCCTGTGCCTTGTCCATGGCCATAGGTTTTCCATTCTCTTTGATGATGGTTTTACCTTTGACTTCCATATATTAGGGTCTCTTTTGTTGTTGTTGTTTTAATTAAAGTGTGTCTCTTTTAATGGTCCAGGCCAAAATGTGTGCAGTTTCCCAAATGACTTATCATTGAACTAGTCATGGCTGAGGTTTTTCTCAAGGCTGCAGAGCGGGTTGATACCCTTTCTTGCTGAAATATCTTTCTTTTCTTTTAGACAGTTTGCTGCTGCTTGGAGTTATATTCTAACCTGCAGAAATGCACTTTCTCTTCTGTTTTGGCAAATATATTCTCATTTAAGTCACCTTTAAAATATTACATTTTTTTCATTTTCTGAGTAGAGAGGAAACATCCCATTGGGTCAACTCTCGGTGGTGAAAAATTATTAAGGTTAGCATGAAAATATACAACACCTATGTTGGTGTGAACCATTATGACTGGATACACAGATTTACCTAATTTGCTTAGTAACAGAATTTGCTTCTATTTTATCTAGCTGGTATGCTAATAAACTTTCTGATACTATAACAAAATACATGATAGAATTTACAAAGGAAAGGGTTTATTTTTTGCTTCTTACTTTTAGGTGGGCAGACCATTGCTTGTAGGCTCTTGTTTGATGTCAAGACAACATTAAGGGACACAGAGTAGAATTAGCTGCTAATCTCATAACCAAGAAGCAAAAGGAAGGTCTGGGTTCTACAATCCTCTTCATTAGAGTAACCCTGTTGGCTAAAGGCCCTCCTTCTAAGGCAGACAGAGTTCTGATAGAACCACCATGAGGACCAACTCTTTAACATACTCATCTGTGAAGGGCATTTGACATCTAAAACTATACCAGTAATTTAGTGCAATATAAACTCATTATATTTTTTAACTTCAATTGGTGCCGACCCCAGAGGTGATACTAAAGTACAAAGAAAAGCATATATAGTGTGAGTTTATTTTCCCAACAAGGTGACTTCAGACAAAATTCTTGTGTAGATTGCATTTCCGTCATTTGTAAATAGGTCATAGTAATATATTAAAGATTAAGGGAGGTAATGTATGCATATGTTAGAATGTTATTTGAAAACTTGTAGACATTCAGTGGACTGTTATGCTACTATCATTATTTAATTTTTACTTTCTTATGGACTTGGATACTTTTTGGTGAACATGCTAGATATAGCTAATACTAAATGATGGTGAGGAGCTTGGCTATTAACTCATTTTCTAGCCCCCCTCTTGGGTTGGCTTCCAAAATATTCGTAAACTGCTGCTATTGCAGCAGCAAAGGGATTGCAGCTTAAATTTGCAAATGTCTAATTTTTTGTTTATAGTTAAAATGATTGAGATGAGTGTGTGTTCACTATTTTATGTGGCCTAGAGCTCTGAAGCCATAGCGTTGACTCCTCTCAAGTGAGTGACTTCTAGTACTAAGAGTCCACCCAGGAGAGATTGTAGGTGTAAGGAAAATCCTACCGCTCCTTTTGAATCTTGTCAATTCAAGAATGATAGACACAGGGTCCAGGTGAGAATAGTGACTTACTTGGTCCTGAGAGGAAACTGCAGGATGGAAAAGAGGACTGGGAAGTAGTTCTCAGTAGGTCATCACAGTGTTTTCTGCATTACAGTAGTTCATAGCTCGTTGTAGTCTTTTCTTAAATCCTTTAATTGGTCTAGTTGTGCTGCTGCCTTTGGCAGTATTCTTGTGCTCAGGGTGCTAGTTCATTTAGAGAATTTACAGTTCCCATTTCAGAGGGATAAAACAGAGTAAAAAGTAATGGCAACACAATTACCAACCTGTTTTCTTTTTCTTCCCCCCTGTAGCAAAACCAAAGACCAGTTTCACATTTCCTCATAGTTTCAAAGCTTTCCCCTTAGTTCTCCAGAGATGAAACTCCTAAATTAAGTTTTATAGTGTGGAATAAATTCTGCTCATGGTATTCTTTTGCCTATAAGATATTACACTAACCTTAAAACGGTTACTGTGTGAGTAACAAGAAACTGAAACATGGAGTGTTAGTCTAGCTCCCATTTGTGGTATTCATATTTTACTTTGGATGGCAAAAATGGGCGAGTCACTTTCCTGCCTTCTCAACACATCACCCTCTGTCTTTCCTGCCTTATCCACCCGAGAAAATTCCATGTAAGGTCTAACAAAATATGAAAGCTGTTGTGACTGAAAGAGCAATAGGTGATTGACAGTGATTACCCAGTGATCAATTCAGAGAAACCAATTGATTATGATTTTATTTTTAAAAAGTTAAAATCTTAAAAGTCACCAGGTTACAGGTGAGTCTAACAGCTTATTCATCTCCTTTCAGCAGTGTACTGTAAATTGAGTCTTCTCAAAAGTCCCTCTAAGCAATGGATAAGGTTCTGGTTAAGGAAGCGCAGGGAAGCTTTTCTGTTCCCTTGACAACTAGTTCTTCTAGGTGAGTATCTGCCTTGACCGGCAGAATTACAGTAATGCCTTGTGATTTGGGTGAAGTGACCTTGTGAGGCTCACAAGCCATCACACAATACTTAGTACTTTTTCTGACTACGGACCATCCCATCTCTAGGCCAAGAATTATGAGGTCTCTTTCACACTGCATCTCACAAATGCTTCAGGGGTTAGGGTGAGAAGACCTAGGGCTTGGTTTCTACTGCTCTTTGAGTCCAACATTCTTCTTCAAGGGACACAGTAGGAAACTAGTGCGTTTTCAGAGTACTCTTCCCTGACTATTTTTAAATTGCTGTAGACAAGTGATTTGTAGATCTTGACCCCATGAAGGCATTGTATCTTAATTTTAGAGGTTACATTTCAAAAGGATGGGAAGGAAAACCCTTGAGTTTGCCCTTTGTCCAAGGCTGTGTGCACCTTATAGTCTAAAAGTAAATTTCTCATTTCTCCTCCGCTGTCATCTTTCTGTATTGTAGTTGGGGACTGGTCAGGCACGAAAAGCATTTTTAATTTGAGTACACAAAAATGTACAGTTTAATAAAAATAATTACTAATATTTATTTAAGTGAATTTTTCTTAACATTTTAAAAGTATTTGTTTTTATTTTAAGGCATTTTATTTTTAATTGTTAGAACTTTCCTTTATATTTGAATTGGTCACATCTGTCATATTGCTTAATCTGGTCAGTTTATATTGGAACATTATTCTTACTTTAGCCATAGCACTGTTTAAAGAAAAATAATATTATTACCTGGATAAGTTACTCAGAAATTCATATTTATAGTGTGTACTAAGAGATAATTACATGACAGGCCATGTTTTAGCTTCTAAATGTTAGTATTGTATATGTGAAATACGTTCACTTTAGTTTCTGAAACTCAAACCCAGTTATTAGTTTATTTTTGTGTTTATAGACTTGCATGTTCACGTTGAAAAGGGAGCAAAATGTTTTTTAATAATCTAAGGTAATCTGAAAATGTCTAAATATACATTATTTTGAACAAAAAAGTTATGTTCCTTAGGTAGTATGAAATAATAATGTCATGATATACATTGATTCTCTGCTTTGTAGCCAATTTAGTGAGCCAGTTTCGGGTTTATATGTTCAGTTCTAAGCCCTGCTAAATTGCCTAGCTTGGTGTCATTCCAGGACACTCTGCCTGCAGCTAGTTCACAAGCTCTGGATCAGGTGAAGTCAGGACAGGAGCCATGTGGGACTCTGGCTGATAGTCACAGTTGTGTGCTTTTCCAGGTGGGCTCCTGATCGCGTCTGCTCACTTTGGTGCATATGTATGCGGGACGGACATCGACTACAACACGGTTCATGGCTTGGGTGAGTAGAATTTATGGTGTTGACGTCTTTGTTGTGAAGCCAAATGGGCCTTTAAAATAATAAAGTAGTTTCATGTGACATTCTAGTGTTTAAAGCGCAACATTTTAGTGTAATTTTACCACAAAACTTCCTTGAGCATCTCCATTTTATAACATTATCACTCGGCGTGCAAGGTAAACTAGAAGAATATCAAGATGAATAGAGAAAAATCTCACCATCCCCAGTCAGAAACTTGTCATCCGAATAAGAGAAGTCATTTTTTTGTTTTTGTTTATCGTTTGTCTTGTTTTAAATGGCAAACTGACCCGGGCGGTGGTTGGTGCCTTAATCCCAGTACTCAAGAGGCACAGGCAGGCAGGCAGGTTTCTGCAAGTTTGAGACCAACCTGATCTACAGAGTGAGTTCCAGGACAGACTCCAAAACTACAGAAAAACCCTGTCTTGATCCCCCACCCCTCCAAAAAAGGTGAGCAGAGAGCAGAGGTTGTGAAGTTCAGTGTTGGGAAGGAAAAGGTGGAAGAGATGGAGTAGCCATTTTGTAGTCAGCAAGCACATGGTAAAGAAACATCCACGGGGTGCGGGAGCTGACTCAGTTGTTAGAGCACTGACTGACCGTTCTTCCAGAGGACCCAGGTTCAGTTCCCAGCATGCACACGGCAGCTCGCACCTGTCTGTCACTCCAGTTCCAGCGCTTCTGACACCCCCACATACATGCACGCAAAATGAACGTAAAAATAAATTTAAAAATTTATAAAAATAAATTTAAGAAAGAAAACATAGGTAGTCTCTATTTAAGATTATCATCATTTACTCGGCAATCATGCTGTGGGTATGGTTGGATTAATATTTAGTTTTTGAATATCATTTAAAAAATTAATTTTTTATGATCAGGACATGCTTGAAACACTTGACGTGTCTACAAATGTAAAGGTTCTGCCTTTCAATGAGGGTAACTTGAAACATGATCCACTTTGATTTTGTGGCAGTTATGGAAAATATCTAAAAATTGGAAAGCTTCACTGTGGTTGGATGGCATTAAATCAGAGTGAAAAATTATATTTCTCATAATGGGGTCGTATTAAAATCACCAAGTAAATTCGTGCATTTGAAACCGTCTGCCTCTATGCTAGTATTCCTCTGTTGTGTCCTGAATGAGTTCTTCAATTTTCTTCATCAGTGTGGGTGAAAGGTGAGGTTTTATTATACTTTCCGTTGCTGAAGCTGTTGTGTGCAGAATTAATAGCTTGTTATGCTATGTCTTGGGTCTTAAGGAGGTTAATAATACTAAGGAAAGACAAAGTTATCGTTTTGAATATTTTTCATGAATGGGCAATTTAGAAAAAGATACTCTTTTTGTCTCGTGTTAGACTAAGTAAAGTGCTGAGACTCGCTCTAGCTTACTGCCAGTAGACGCAATACATTTACTTTAAGGAAATTATCCCACACAGATTTTAAGACATTTTTATTTATTAAAGTCTTGAAAAGTTATTTCATACCCTTAAATCTACTGGGAATAATTTCTAGTTGAGGAGAGTTTCTTAGAGAGTCTCCAGTTGCTAGGTATGTCCTTTGCTTACGATTTCTGATCTCTTAAGCTATACCGTAAGGTCGTCTCATGTTTTCTCCAGTTGGACAGCTAGAAACCTTTCCTGTCAGTCTCGCAGGATCCCTTTAGCTGTATTTTCCTTTTGCCCACGTGCCTAGGAACGTGCTGTCTGCTTTCAGTCTCACTTTCTCATCGTCTGTGACCCTGGAGCACCTGTGCCCACCATTTAGCCCAGAACGCCCATGGAGGGCACAGAGCCACCCTGTTCTGCAGTGTTGACTGCCATAAGCCTTCCTTCTTTCCGGGACAATGTTCTCCCTGGGTGCTGCTTTTACTCTTCTGACAGTTTTATTTCAGTCTCTTGAAGACCCGGGGTTTTCTTTCATTTCTCTTTACATAGTATCCATAGTATTTTTTTCTCTTGGCATCCATTTTTTGTTTGTTTGTTTGGCTGTCCAAAGGGTTTTATTGTTGTTGGGTTTTTTTTTTTTTTTTGGCTGTTCTGGAACTCTCTCTGTAGATCAGACTGGCCTTGAATTCAGAGATCCGCCTGCCTCTGGCTCCAGAGTGCTGGGATTAGAGGTGTGTGTCACCACTACCTAGCCAGCATCCATTTTTAAATCCCTGTTTCTGTTATATTGAATGTTGCTTGGAGTTTTTCATCCTCTTGATTTTCTTTTTAAGTTTTGTTTTACTGTAAAGTTGATCATAATACAAAAGTGTATAATTGCTGGGCATGGTGGTACATGGCTACAGACGGCAGAGGCAGGAGGGTTTCTGTGAGTTCCGTACCTGCCTCAAGAATAAGAGTAACACTAGAGCAAGGTCTTGGGTAGCTGGCACCTAGGCTGAAATTTATTCATTCTCACCAGCTCCACTTGTTTAAATACTGATGGCTCCAAGTGTGTATTCCAGAGTTCAACTACCCAATGATTCTCTCTTTTAGCTAGTGCCATTTTCTGGTTGTGCATATGTGTATGTGTAATGGGTGTGGTGTGTATATGGGGGGTGGTTATATATCTCAGACTTTACCATTAAGCTGTTTTTCTTTGAGTTTCTCTATTGTTATCACTGGCATGATCATCATCTGCCATTTAGGTCTTTTATGTGCTAAGCTTTTGAGCTTCTTCATTTTTTCTGTGTACACTGATTTTTCAACAGTAATTTTTCCATGTGTCTGCCTTCTTCATAGTCAGAGCTGCCGAGTTTCACAAGTTAGCATTCTTCATTTATCTGATCAAACACTTTCAACATGAACTCTATTCTTGTAGGATAGGTCCATGTTCTACTCATTATGTATCTTCCTGGTGTATCTTCCAATACTTCATACTTGGAAAGTATTGGTCATTTTAATAAGGTGCATTTTACTGTTCAAAATAATAAGGTGAAATATTTGCTTAATTGTATGCAGACGATTAAGATTACAAATGAACACACATTTTATGTTGGTAAACGTGGGTTTGCATGGGCATAAAGTATTTTCAGCTAAACTAAAGAAAAGAATGATGTTCTGTTTGATGGAGTAATTTTCTACCTTTATTTTCTTTCTCTTTAGGAAAAGCTAGTAGAAAAAACCAGAAATGGCGAGGACCAGATGAAAACATCAGGGCAAATCTTCGTCAGTATGGCTTAGAGAAGTTTTATCTTGATGTCTTGGTTTCAGATGCCTCTAAGCCTTCCTGGAGGAAAGGAACATATTTTGATGCAATCATCACAGATCGTGAGTTTATTTTCTACAAAGTAGGAAGGGCGTTAGTTTTCTGAAGTTGGTACATTTTAAGTATAAAATATATCAACACATGAGAAATGCCCACTTGTGTTAGGGTTCTTCCCACTCTTCTTCAAAACCAATACAAAAATTAATACTAGAAGGCAGGTTGTTAATTTTAGTACTTAAGGGTTTGTGGTTTCATTTTAGCAAATACATTTATTTCCTGTCTGTACATAATTTGCCATCCATTTTCCCTCCCATTTATTTTTTAATCATGTATTTTTACATAGTAAAATTACATAAAATACATAGTAAAATTACATAATCATGTATTTTTACTGGCTATCAGTGTAGCAACTAGAGCTAGTGTTGTTTATGGTTTCTGTGTCTACCTCTGGGCTTTCAGCGATCTTCCATTTTGGTGAGCCTCTCTCTATAGCGCCTGTTTTTACCTGCATCTTCTTTCTGGACGTAGAGAGATTTGGGGTTGTGTAAACTGCTGGGCTCCTGCAGCAACTAGCTCTAGAACACTACATGAAAACTTAGGTTCTGTGCTCGTGAATTGTCTGCATTTGAGGCGCCCTGTCAAAACAGATGTGCCCTTTTCACAGGGTTGCTAATAATCTTTGTAATAATTTTTGTAGTTAAAAATCTTGGTAGTAATTGGTAAATAATGCAAAGTTAAGACCTTTTGTCTCAGCCATTTTTTGTTCTTCGCCTTAGAGGATTTCAAATCTAATAAGAAATTTCTTACGGCATTAAGATGATATTGTGAATATGCATCATGACAATTTGGAACCTTTTATTATTTACTGTTTTTTCTCCCAGTATGGTATACTTTTTCCTATACTTTATTGTCGATTTTCTGAGAAAAAAAAAGATAGTATCTTAGCCACAGTATAGCAATCTATCTATCTATCTATCTATCTATCTATCTATCTATCTATCTATC